AAGCCCAACACAGTATGGGAAGCCTCAGTACATACAGGATCTTCCACCTCCCCTCATATTTCTATAACCCTTTTACAGCAACATCTGAAAAAGCAGATTGTAAAATAGCATACAAACATTTTAAAAGCAGCTGAAAGCACACTTTGGGGCAGAGGCAGTAAGAAAAGCTGCACACAAGCCGCAAGTGCTTCAACCACCCGAAGTAGCCTGGACCAAGCTGGAAGACTCCTCTCGCTGCCAGGGCAGGACTACCCTCTGCTGAGCACGGCCCAGACTGACACGCATGTTTGACATGCTTTAACCACGACTTCTCTTTCAAACACTGTTTCATGACTTTTAGATACAAGCCCTCCTCCTCAAAAAGGGCAGCACGCACTATACTACGCTCCCTCTAATTAACAGTGCTCGACAGACAGACTCTCCCTCCTTTCCTGCCCAACATACACCGTATCAGGCCAAAGCTTCTCTCTGTGCTCCAGCCCAGCTGGGTCCACCCTGCAGCTTCACCGCTGTTGCACTCTGCTCAGCTCCCGCATCTGTCAAGTGTCGGTCCCGACTCAAAACTACCTGGAGTTAATGAAAAGGTTCTTATTTACACTACGGACCCAATCCTCCATTTCAGTAACTGGAACTAGACAGAATGACATAAATAGCTCTCCTGTCGTACAATGCCTTCACAGATACACTGCAAAACAGGAGAGGCCGTTTGGCAGGTCACGTATCACAAACCTGCATTATTCTCACTTCACCAAATCAACCCATCGCATATCGTTATCCTTCCCTGTCCCCCTTTTAACAGTACGTGGTGATACTACAGTTTGAGTCCTTCCAGATTGAGATAAATAGACAGAATGTGTAAGATCAGTTTCTTTTAGGTCCTTTTACACTATTTTATCCATTTTCCTTTACATAGCTCACCACTCAGTTTCTTTTGGAAACTTCCTGGACACACTCCAACAGAAAGCACAAGCAGCAGCTACACGGCGATGTCTGCACTTGAAACTTAACTGAATTTAATACTTCAAACCGTGGCGAGATCTTCCACAGCTGGAACATTAGCAGTGCATGCACACCGCAAGGATATTTGGCAATTATGTGAATATAGCATCAACAAATCACCACAGCATGCCAACAGCTCGACTCACGGACTGCTGACCACACACGAGCAGCACTGCTCCGTCTCTAGGCTGCATCTGCTGAGCTCATACCACAAGGGGGTCAAGAAGAATAGTTCCTTAAGTCCTCATTTCCCTCCTCAAAGTGTTTTAAACTCATTTAGTTCACATGCACATCTGCCATGATATAGAACAATTTATGAGGAATCTTTCAAACCTGCGCATGTTACTGTAACTCATACACAGATGGACAAAACAAGTATCTCATTATTTGGTTTTAGACACAAACAACTGAGGTTTTGCGTAACAATTTAGCTTATTAAGTAGTTATCATCTCTTTGTTGGTTCCATAAAGATATGCCACAGGCCTTTCCTTCAGGAGCTTGGCTGCAAGGAGCGGGCTACTGCTAACCCTTTTCTTATCCTCCTGCTATGTTTCACAATCCTTTCATCTCTCTGGCCCGGCAATGGAGTCCATATGATCTGCCCCCCAGGATACGCATTTGCTTAGCAAAGTAATCTAATGTTAGTCATCTCCTGCAGAGAAGTAACTGTAGAAGTCGCAACATTTGATCTCTAGACCAATTTGGGGAGAGAAAGGAGGTAAAAAGTCAATGCAACTTGTTTCCCCATTGCCTTTCCCTCCCCTCAGTTTTAGAATTTTGTAATTATATCTTATTGCCACCGTCCTCAGAATAAGACATTTTCAATCTTCTCATCTTAAGTGAAGCCCTGGAGATGAGGAATGGTTGGTTTTCCACGCTGCTTTTTGGTCCTGGTTTTTTCAAGATGGAATATGGGCCTTGGGGAACAAGCGTATGTGAAAAAAATCAGCACAAAAACTAGCAGCTAATAATCACTTCCGTAAGATATCAGTAGAAGACGACCGTGGGTGGGTTAAAAGCAGACTGACAACTGAAGATAAACTCTACCAAAGGCAGGCAAGGATTACACTCAAAGGAGACAACCTGGAAAGTGTTGTGTTGTTAATTGCCAAAACGATGTCCTCAGAGCTACACTGGAACAAGAGGGAGCCATACCCAAATAAGAGCTGCCAGGAGTGCGGTTTGGTCAAGCAATCCCCATCCTACATCACTGTTACTCTTTTGTTGACCTCCTGCAGCTCACTACAGAAGACCCGGCAAGATTAGTTCCGCAATGCAACCTCCTGAGGCTGCCTAAGTAGAAGGATGGCAGCTTCACACTACTGAAAAATTTTGGGCTTTAACATTTGTTCATGTGGTTTCCATATAGATCAACACTTCAAGTTAGGTGGGAACCAAGCACTCTAAACAGCGAGCAAGGGTTAAGAGTGCTAGGTTTAAGAAAAGGCATATCCACTGTACCAGAAACATGCTTTCAATTTTACCAGCTAGGGTAGTTTTATTTTCTTTTTCCAAATGGCAACAGGAATCCCAGATATTAGTCAATTCTTGCTATGCCTTGAATTGAAACGTTCTCTTCAGACTGTTTTACATTTTCAGCATGTAACTTGATGCGCAAAGTGTGTAATGAATAAACACTGAGCTACCTCAGGAACACTGTCCTACTTCAAGGATGGCATTGCACATCACATACTCTTCAGAAAGCCCCTAATCTCCCGGATTCCGTTTTCAAAATTTAACTAAGGGAATAGCAACTCTCTAACTGCACATAAGCAATGTGAAAATACTTTCATTAATGTTTCTAGGTGTACAAGACACTGTTGGGATGTATCTCCCCAAAACTGAGTAAATCTGACAAGTAGCCCAAAGCAAGTGCTGTCACACTGAACGCGAACTTCAGAAAATCCTTACCACAGCGAGGTTCTTTTGGCGACCCTTTCATAAACAGCATGCAAGGGGCAGCATTGATGAGTTTCTTTAGACGCACATTAAGATCTTCTTTTGCACTCTCATTAGAGGCAGCAGAAACAGAACTGCTGGACGCATGGCGCTGCACTTTTTTGGTCAGCTCTGGGGCATGCGCACCATCTAATCTGTCAACTTTCTGAGAATTCTAAGGAAACCAAAACACAGGCTCGTGTTAAAGGATTAAATTCAGAATCTGTACTGTAATAAAAAAAAATAGTAAAACCACCATATAAAGTATAGATTTTCAGATGCAGGATGGATTAGTGTATCGATCTTTTAGCCATACTTTAGTTCCAAGACTCACATCATTCTGCTGGCTGGCTACTGCTAATGCTAGCGAATTTGCTATCAGAAGAATTTATTAAAGAAAATATTTTGAATTATATTATCGCAGGCAAGTGTGACCCAAACAGACTTGTCATTTCTATCAAAAGATTATTTACTTGGTTTCTGCCATGTTGTAGAACTATAGCTAGAAAAGTAAACACTACTGAAAATTTTTTGGCCCAATATGAGGTACGACAACTAAAATAAGAACTATATAAGAATCCCAAAGCAATTAAGGAAGCTCTGAAATATTACATATCGAGTGCAAGAACAATTCCTATCTACTTTTTTAGGCTTCACTGGACAGATGTAAATCAGATACATAAGAACTTTCTCAGTGACAAAACACTTAAGTTTCTGCTTTTCTGGTAGTAGTATTAAAAAAGTATACATATTAACAGCCCACATGGAATCCATTTTCTTTTAAATCCATCTTCTCTTACCTTAAAGAATAAGAACGTTGGAACAGAACTAATTCCATATTTTTCAGATACTTCAGGCACAGCTTCAGCTTCCAGCTAAAAAAAAAAAAAAAACCAAACAAAAAAAACAAAACAAAAGATGATTTTCATAATCTTCTTTAAAGTTTGACAGTGGATGTCAATCCTGTCTAGAATGTTCTTCTAGGCATTTTATACATTTAAAAAGGATTTGATGCAGAAGTTTGTGACACATTTGCATTTAAATGAGACTCACTGGGTTGGCGTGTCATCCACTGAGCCTACACAGTGTCAAAACAGGTTCAGAGGTTTTTATTTTGTTGCACATTTCAAAAGATGCCTGAAGGCTACGAATAAAATTTTTGGTGCACTAGTGACCTAGTAAATTTTCAATCATATGCAGCTACTACTATATTGAAATCCATAAATCATTGACCCCAGTTATGTCATGATTACAGTGCTTATTTTCTGCCCACAGCAATTCTTGCTGTTTGCTCTATTGACTAATTTCAAGGGGCAGTACATCACGACTGACATTTGCAGCCTTCTGCAAATTATGAAGAAAAAAAAAAAAAAGAGTGTTTCTTCAATAAGCTATTGATGTCTACTAAATTTTATTTTTAACTCCTGCAAGGCTGCCGAGTATTGAGTGGCAAGCTTGTTGAGATTATTGGTTCTGAATTTATTCAGCATTCAAACGCGTACCTTGAAATTATATAATGTAGCGATTTGCCAAGAAAATATATCCTCTAATTAACTCAAATTGTTGATTTTCCACGCATAGGCTAAAAGCTTACTTGAGTGACAGAAGATCTAGTACAAGATTGTTTAAGACACTAGTTCTGTAACAGCTGCAGAGTTAATGGTTAAAGAAGCGGTGATAGATCTAAATGTTTCAAGCAAACCTGCAATCCAGTGTACAGAAGAAAAAGCCTCAAATTCTTATTCAACAAACCATACAGCGACATTTCATGAACAAGCATCAGGAGAACTACTGAACAGTTTGCTCCTGCCTGCCCCGTCCATCCTTACACATTTTAGAAAATACTGTTTTCACTATTAACCAAAACATAGTAAACCTCTAGAATATTTTAGTATTACACCATGTTTTGATTTGCTCCAACTATCTACGCTCTTAATGAACTCAGTAAATTCAGAAGCAACCCAGAAGAATAAGTCAAAAGAGTTCAAGCTCCACCTCTATTTTTGTAAATCAATGCTCCAACAGGATCAACTGAGAAACTAAAGCTATAAATTGAAAACTGTAAATATATCCCAATTATCTATCCTCTTTCAAGTGGCAAATCATTAAATGACTTCTACCTATAATATTAATTTTCTTTTCCAGTAAAATTTCCTAGTTACTTGGATACTTATGTTCCACTCTGGTGAGGTTCACACATACAGAACAGATTTAATTTCACACTTCAGTAACTTGCTCTCATTGGTATAACTTTCAAAAAAAATGTTTCTGATTCTGGACATAGACACACTTTCATTGTAACCACGCCAAGGATCTCAGAGTTAGGCTATGCAACAACTAAAATGAGAAACTGAATTTAGAAAGACTTCAAGATTTCTGGACAATTTTGAAGTTCATTTTGTTATTACTTAGCTCTTTTCTAGAATGTACATTCTTATGATTTGCAAGGCGGTACACTACTCTTGGTCGGTCATCTGTAACCATCGATGAGGTCTTGCCAATTAAAAGGCAGACTCTGGCTATTCTGGAATACAGAACAAAATCCCACAAAGAACCTCCAAAAATCAAATACACTCCCCATGAGAAGCCCCTCCCAAAAAAAACATATCAAGAAAATCCACCCAAGTCTTTCAGCAGCTTATTTTCTCTAAACAAGTACACCAGTAATATTGGGGCGGGGGGGGAGGGGAGGTGCCATTATCTTAGTTTTGCAAAACTCGATCACTTCAGAACCTTGTTATTAAAAAATAAATTACATCTGGATAATAAGGGTTATAAATAAATAATACATGAATATGAATAATAAAGAGGCAACTGAGAATTTTCAAATTTTCTTGGGCCTACCAAAAGCTATAGCAGCTCTATGTAAATTTAAGCATCTTGAATTTTCAAAACATTGAAAATTAGTCTTTTGAAGCTCTACGCAATAAAATACTACCATTCAAATAGCTCTGTCCTTCTGTTTCACAGAGAGAAATACCAACTGAAAGAGGAATCATTAAAAAAACCCCACAAAACCTAAAGGCTGTAAGAAATCAAATTAAAACACTCACACACAGCTGGCTGCTCCATTACTCCCTGCCCTCATAATCACAGAAGTGTCTCATTAACAAGAGAAAGTTGTTCTAAAACGAACAGCATGTTGATGAAGTGCATTCATTTTTCCCTCCACACTGGTTCTCTAACTAGGAGGTGTGGACGATCTCACAAAAATATAGCATCTCATTTGTGTTTATCCCATCCAGCACTATATGACTGTCACCTTAAGAGTGACAATGTCGCACTGACTTAAATTTACCTTCCTTTAAACTTCATGAAGATTACTGCTCATCTTAAGTATCAGAAAGAAAACCTCTATGAATTCTGCGATCTATTTAGCTAAGCAATAACATCACGGGAACAAATGAGACCTCCAGCACACATGAAGAGAACAGTGTTGCCAAATTAGTCTCAAATCCATGCACAAAAATCATGCTTTAAAAAGGTGGTTATCTACAGAACTGAAGGACTGAGACATTGCAGGCACAGAGACATTTAAAAGCGTATTTGTTAGATGGAGTAGCTAGCGAAAAAACTCCATCATTGTATCTTAGTAGACCAATTTTTAATTTTTTTTTTTCTTTAAGCAGCACAATAAAGTGAAGGTGTCATTTATGCTTGCAGTATCAAGTTTGGAAAGATGAATCTAGACCTTTCATCCCACGGATTTTCAATGCATCTCTTTCATATGTTCAACCCACAGCTTTAAACGGGAAGCCATAAAGGAACTTCAGAACCAACTTTACCCATATTTTGTAATACTTTACTCACACTTTGTAATAATGGCTCTCCTCTATTTAAAACAAGCTCAACTGCCTGACTTACCTTCACAAATGTAACCTGCGTGTGTTCCTTTGCTAGTGCCACCATAACCTCATTCATCTGAGCACACTGAGGAGCCCATGGTGCCCAAAAGTGGACAACTACAAGGGACCTATTAAAAAAACAAAAGTGACAGCAATTATTTTTTAAACAGAATCATGCAATGTAAAAGTTTGATATGCCATGCCAAAAAAACCACAAACAAAAAACAAATAAACAAATAAACAAAAAACCCCACCATCTTCCAGAAACAAAAGAAAATCAAAACCAGGAATGTTTTCTATGACTTGCACAGAGGAGGACTTCAATGATTTTTCTGGAAACATTCCCAAACCCAACCAGCACCGTTAATGTAATGCAATACAAAGAAAAACGTCATCCTGTATTATGACAGTAAGAGATCATTCCATAAGAATGCCAGCCAGGAAGGAAAAAAAAGCAGAAACACTAAAGATGAAGTCATACACTACAGGACACAGATTGTGAAGCAGGGCAAACACTCAGAAAGGCTCTTGGGCACCCCACATCTCTTCCCAGGCAAGCGTTCCGTCTTCAGAACCTCTCAGCAGCTTCATGCTAGAGGCTGCACCATTGCTTTTCTCCTCTCAGTGCCACTATTGCCTCTTTACTGCTTATCCAGGAAATAAGGTAGTAACTTTTCAAGTCTGCGCAGACTTTTCTAAAGATACAGTATTCTTATGCCGAAATACTATTTTCTGCTTTTATTAACTCCAACTTCTCATTCCTCTTCCAGCTTCACTAAGGTTTCCTTGAATGTTTGGTATTAATTATACACAGCATTTAAAGATGTGAAGTCATATGTGTGAACAGAAATCCCATCAAATTGGGTACGACAAGGTAGTCCTCATGAGCTTAAACAAACCCGCTTCGATGATAACAGCAACAAGATATTTGTATCCAATTTTCAATTCTGTTTTCCAGGTTTGCTGAAGCCAAAACCACTACATAATAGGGGTAAAGAATAAAAGACATATAATGTACTACTTTTAATCTACTTAGAAAGAGATATAGAAATCAACGCAACCACACTGTAGAAGCTATTTAGGGTCTTTTATTACTAAATAATGGAACCTCAGTACACATTTTTAATAGCTATGCAGGTAGCACGACATTCATACTGAAACAGAAGCTGTGTTATCTGACCACATACTCTGAATACAGCGCTAAACTCAATTCAGACACAGAACTTTAAAATTCATAAACTTGATTTCCCAAAGCAATTCTAAGAAGTTTTAGTAAAAATATAATGGGATAGCCTTTTTTTTTTTTCATCATGCCATCAGTCATAGCATGGTTCTGCTTTGAAAACAGCTTGAAACTGGCAGAGTTTACAGACCAGTAAAAACTGAAATGGCAGAAAAAAAAAAAAAAAGTTGCCTTGTTCTGCAAGTGTCAGCCTTGCAAATTCAGACCTGAGCTCAGGAACAGTTCAAGACACCTTCTCCAGGGCTGTCATCTGTATAGATTCTTCCAAGACTTGTATACAAGTCACCAAGAGCAATGATCCCAAAGGCAAACCATCTCTTTTTAATTACAACAAAGTAGCTGCATGCTTCTTTGAACTTATTTCACTGCTCATAGCTGACACTAGTAAAGGCTCATTTAAGTGATTTACTCTTTACTTATAAATGGGATTAGATATGGACTTCTTGAGAAAGCTGAGACTACATCTCACTGCTCAGAGTAAAACCCTAACTGCAGAACTGCTTCAGCATGTAAACTTATAGCAGTGCTCTTTGTGGAGCCCAGCTACAGAGCAAATGCAGAGGCAGGTAACAGCACAGGTAGCTCATGCAGGAGCTTTATCCCTTCCGAACGTTACTACAGCTGTCACCTCATCCAGACACATTTTAAATAAGACTTTTGAGCCAATGGCAACAAGCACTTGGAAGTGCTGTCCCCATGCTGCAACCAACATTTTCTTCCCCACAAAGGGACAAGGTGAAAATAATTAAGTACGCTGGGAGACAGGAGGGAGTTATTTATATATATGAGAATATCCAGTCACAACAGACAGAAAATTTTAAAATTAAAAAAGCAGCAGTTCAACATTTTAGAAGACAGACCAAGTTCTGATGCAGCCAATTCTCAAGAGCTTTGCTCCAGATTGGTCACCACATCCATCATTTGAAATACCAATTTTGAGACCTCCTCCAATATCATTCTTAACGTATGCACTGTTCACTGACAACGTTAAGAGCTCAGAGAAGTCGTTTAAAACAGATCAAGGATGAACAAAAATACTTTTTTGTTTAAATCAAGTTTTATGACAAAGGCTAATCTACTTAGATCTTCTACTGCTTTTACAATTAGAGAGAATGAAGTTGTGAAGCCGTCACTGCAACTGCACAATACCTGTACATTTACAAATATAACTTTTACATCTGTTAGAAAGCAAGTAGGACAAGAGAATACTTCCACTGGCTAAAAACAAGTAGTTGAAGAAAGAGAACAGAGAACATAAAAGTAGCATAGTGGCTACGCATCAGGCCAAAGCCCTAATAAATAACTTGATGCATTTTCCTTCCACTAACAGGAATGCATACCCTTCCCCTACTACCAAGAAGTATTTCACAAGTGCTCAAGTTAATTTAGTATGCATAGTGGGACACATCTGACCACATGAATGTCAGCTCATGACAAGTAGAAGAGGAATGATCACATGGTTATTTAATACGCATTCCATCAGAGCCTCTTCTTTGCTTAGCAGCATATAGTTGCAATTTTTATCTTCGTGAAGGACATACTTTAAATTAATTTGCAACAAGGGTTTGGGCTTTTGGGTTTGGGTTTTTTTGACAGTTGCATTCACAGAACAAGTCTAATTCTGCAATTAGACTGCCCTCTTAGTATTTCAGTACTTTAAATTAAACTTGAAAACTAGCGAGAGTAATTCAAAACATTAAGAAAGGAAGAAAACAGTTAGCAAAATGAAGCACATAAGTGATTCTACACAAAGTATTTCTTACATTCAACCAAGATATCTCTAAACACTCTACCATTATATATAAAACAGGATTGTAACAAAAAGCTTATGACAAGTCCCGAAGTTTCTCTTCCTGTATGATTTTATATTTCACATTTTGGGGGAAAAGCTGTGGGCCCCAAAATAAAACTAACTTTAATATAACATTTTTTTAAACTTTAGTAGCAGAAGAAAAATCAGAAGGACATATCACACATTTTCCATGACAAAACAAAAAGCCCGAAGTCTTGTTTCTATTGTATATAGTGTAGTATTTTGTAAGTATTCATAATCTTTCTGACAGGCAGTCCAACTTACTTGGTTTTATAAGCTGACCTTCCCAAAACATAGTCTAAGTAACACAACAGATTACAGAACAATAGAAGCGGTTCAATAATTTTGAAGACATTGGCCCAGTTCATCTTTTGCAACCATAAAATCTAGACGCATTTTGAAAAAAATTAAACCCTGAAATTTACACTTATTCCGTAACACAAAGCTTCGTAATACCTTGATGTCAGAAAGATTAATTTTCCAAAACAGGAACTGCTATGAAATTAAGTGTCAACATAAAATGCTGGCAGTTGCAGTGATAATTCTATTAGTTTGAAAAAATAAGGAATTCCATTTGAAAAAAAAAAAAAGCAGTAAAACAGAATTAGGCCTAGCCTTAAAATTTCAGCACATTTTTGTTGTAAGCTTTATCTTTATCTATCTTACTTCCTTGAAGAAACTTTCTCCTTTCCTACTTTATTAAGTGAATGTTTAAAACTACTTTTTTTTTTTACACCATTAATTTTCAAATTCACTTGATAATCTAAATATAGAAGGTACCTTAAGTCAGCCAATGTATATTTTTAAAGTTCTGTCACCATCCAGAAATGGGGAGATCATTAAAAAAAAAAAAAAATCTATGATTTGAGGGATTTGTTATGCTCTGTGAGTGCAGGTTTGTTTGGTTTCTTAGCAGTAACAGAAAACAAAGCCAAATATTTTGAAATTAAGCAGAGGAAAAAAGTTATCACTACCATCAATTCCTCTTAGGACCAAACACATAAAATATACAAAACATACAAAAGAAATTAATTACTCAAGAGTTTTGTTGAAAATAACTTCAAAATATTGTATTTGTTCCTGAAGCCCTTTTCATTTCAGTATGTCCCAGTGAGTGTGAGAGTGTGACTTTCTGCTGGGATGTCCCCACACAACAATTCAGTTGAAGAATAATTCCAGAAAAGACGACTGAAAGTCATCCAGCAAGTTTCAAAGAAACTAGTTTCTTCTTCCCATAATCAAAACTTTCCCGTGTTTCCTTATGCTGCCTTTAAGAATGTGATGCTGGTAGTTCCATCATCCTTTTTAAACTACTCATTTAAATCAGTCTTCTCTCCATATTTGTTTAAAGGCTACTTGCTAATGCAGCTGCCAAATGACATGGAAATGTTTTTCATACACCACCTTATTTCAATGTGCCTTACAGGACCTAGTTAAATACATACTCAGCTAGTGGATTAAAAGATATAATACTAGTTACCACACCTTTGATTCAACAAGACAAACAAGCAAAGCTCATAACCAAACCTGTCTTTCTTCAGTAAGGCACCCAAGTACTTGTTCATCTTTAATTGCAGTGGTAGTTACTGTGACTTTCCTACCAAAGCAAAGCATACGAAGGCTTTTCTCCCAAAGGAACAGTGCCCAAGACTTCCACCACCAGGCCAAGAGCCACTGCCCAGTAGCTGCAGAGAATCAGTGGTCCATGCTGACACACCAATGGGAAGAGAGCCCTGTTACTCACTACTAGAGCAGAAAACCAGATTAATGAGAAACCAGCCCTGTTACATAGGAGCTGAATAACGTAGTTTGGCATTGGTTCTCAGTAAACTGCTGCTGTTTTCATTGAAAATGTTGTACAGTCATTGTTTGTTTTGCTGACACCTCATGGCTCCGGAAAAAAAAAATCTTCGTTTGCATGAAAGTTCTGTTTTGCCTAATTTTCCTGCCAATCCGCCCATGGAGGCTTCCCGTCCCCCGCAGCAGGTTTTGCAGCTGCAGCAGCCCCCCCCGCCCCCGCCGGGCGCCTGAGCCCTCCGAGAGACTCTCAAACTCCGCCTAAGGAAACGGGT